TTCTCAGTGGAGGGTGGTAAGAAGGGGGGTACCGCAGGGATCAGTACTTGGTCCACTGCTTTTTAATTTGTTCATTAAGATTTGGAGTTGGGAGTAAGCAGTGAAGTGGCTAAATTTGTGGATGATACGAAGTTGTTCAGGGTGGTGAAAACCAGTGAGGATTGTGAGGCACTCCAAAGGGATCTGTCAAGGATGGGCAAGTGGGCGTCAACATGGCAAATGGGGTTCAATGTGGCCAAGTGCAAGGTGATGCACATTGGAGCCAAAAATCCTAAATATAAATACACATTGATGGGGTCTGAACTGGCAGAGACTGATCAAGACAGAGATCTTGGAGTTGTAGTAGATAACTCACTGAAAATGTCGAGACAGTGTGTGACTGCAATAAAAAAGGCCAATGCTATGCTGGGGATTATTAGGAAGGGTATTGAAAACAGATCAGCCAATATCATAATGCCCCTATATAAATCAATGGTGCAACCTCATTTGGAAAACTGTGTTCAGTTCTGGTCACCACACCTTAAAAAGGATATTATAGCTTTGGAAAAAGTGCAGAAAAGGGCAACTCGAATGATAAAAGGGTTGGAACACTTTCCCTATGAGGAAAGGTTAAAGCACTTAGGGCTCTTTAGCTTGGAGAAACGATGACTGAGGGGTGACATGATTGAGGTTTATAAGATTATGCATGGGATAGAGCAGGTAGAGAAAGAGGTACTTTTCTCCCTTTCTCACAATACAAGAACTCGTGGGCACTCCATGAAATTGCTGAGCAGTCAGGTTAGAATGGGTGAAAGGAAGTACTTCTTCACCCAAAGAGTGATTAACACATGGAATTCACTGCCACAGGAAGTGGTGGCGGCTACAAGCATGGACGGCTTCAAAAGGGAATTAGATAAGCATATCGAGCAGAAGTCCATCAGTGGCTATTAGCCACAAGGTATAGATAGGGACTCTGGGGCAAGTGATGCTCTGTCTTCTTGGTGCTTGGGGGGGTCAACAGTGGGAGGGCTTCTAATGTCCTGGCCCCACTGGTAGTGGTATTTCTGGCAACTGTGTGATACAGAGTGTTGGACAGGATGGGCCTTTGGCCTGATCCAACATTGGTGTCTCTTATGTTCTTATGTTCTTATATCTAACCATCCATGCAGAGAAGGCACACAGAGTTTTTCTGTAATCCTCTCTGATCCTGTAGCCCCTTCCAACAGCTGGAAAGATTATTCTTGAGGCTGCAGAATCCATGTGAAGGAACAGCTGAAGCAAGGAAGGTTAAGGAGATGAAATCAATCCCTTTTCTCAGTGGAGTTGCCTTTGTGGAAGAGGAAGGAGAAGTAACACCTTCCTCACTCTACCCCCCACCCTTGCACGTCTAAGTCCACCTTGCAAATTTCACAACCTTGGGAAAGACAGAAAGAGCTGCAGGAACAGAAAGGACCATAGTAATACGTACTGACATAAACCTGTAGAACGTTAATTGCTTGGCCCATATCTATATATCTAATTCTGACAGGAGGGGGTTTGTGTGGATACTTATTTCTGCCAACAGAGGGCTCACTCTCCCTCAACAGCTTTTCCTACATAGTCAGTAGACTTCCTGTGTCTGCAGAAAAATCCAAAAAGTAAAAAAAAATCCCTTCTGAGAGGGTTGAATTCCCTCTAATACCTTTTGAAAAGGCCTCTGCAGGGATCTAACTCCAGACACCGTGAGAGATTACAATGTTCAGGGCGGGAGGGGGCTCTGTCAGTAAAAGGGTGGGGGAAGGGCCCTTTCCTGGCCTCTTTTGTCCTTGGAGGGAGGGAGCAAGCCTGGGGGACAGGCCTGACAACGGTTGCCAGTGCCAGCCTAGGGAATCCCTAGAGGTTTTGAGTTGGACTGTAAGGAGGGCTGGGTTTGGGGAAGGGAGAGGCCTCAGCTGGGTATAATGCCACAGAGTCCACCCTCCAAAGCAGCCATTTTCTCCAGGGAGACAGATCTCTGCTGTCTTGAGTTCAGTTGTAATTCTGGGGGGGTCGTCCTCCAGGCCCCACTTAGAGGTTGGCAACCCTAGGCGTGGCAGCACTTTAGGGTCACCAGGTTTTCCCCTGGCCACTGGCAGGGGATGGGGGGGGGTAAGGTTGCCACATCCAGGCTGGGAAACTCCTGGAGATTTTCTGGTGGAGCCTGGGGAGGACAGGGACTTCAGTAAGGTACAATGTCACAGAGTCTACCCTCCAAAGGATCCATTTTCTCCATGGGAAGTTATCTCTGTAGCCTGGAGATGAGCAGTAATTCCAGGCATCCCCAGGTCCCACCTGGAGGCCGGCATCCCTAGGCAG